AGGATTGCTGCCCTCTCAAAGATGATCTTGGCTCTCCCGGCTTGTAATCAGTCATTAGAGGCTAGCATTAAAAGTACATGTAAATGCCACCAGTGGTATCAGCTGAGAAGTGCTTGAGGGATGTCCCAGCTGAATGCCTGAAATAAGCTTCCAGGGTCAGGCACTGGTGGATGGCACTTTCCAGTAGGGTCTTTTTGCTCAGGAAAACACTTGGGAGAAGATGAACAGAAACTTGGTGGGATGAAACCCACGACTGGAATGTAGCTATGGATGGCTACAGGCTGTTCAGAAGGGACAGGAGAGGAAGGAGGGGTGGAGGCGTTGCCCTCTACATCAAGAAATCGTTACAGTGTGAAGAGCTGACCCTGAAGAATAGCCACGAGCAGGTCGAAAGCTTATGGGTCAAAATCGGAGGAAGAGGCAACAAAGGGAACCTGGTGGTTGGTGTCTACTACAGGCCGCCAGATCAAGGGGAGCCGACTGACGAAGCGTTCTTCCTCCAGCTCCGGGAGGCTTCACGCTCGCAGGCTCTTGTCCTGCTGGGGGACTTCAACCACCCCGACATCTGCTGGAAAACCAACATGGCAGGATGTAGGCAATCCAGCAGGTTTCTCGAATGCATTGAGGACAACTTCTTAAGCCAGGTAATAGACACCCCTACCCGAGGGGATGCGATACTGGACCTGGTGGTCACCAATGCAAGCGAGCTCGTCGGAGATGTCAAGATCGGAGGCAGCCTGGGCTGCAGTGATCACGCGCTGGTAGAGCTCACGCTCCTGAGGGAAATGGGAAGGACAAAGAGTATAGTCAGGACCCTGAATTTTAGAAAAGCCAACTTCCAGCTCCTCAAGGAGATAGTCAGTAGGACTCCCTGGGAAACGGCCCTCAGGGACAGGGGAGCAGAACAGAGCTGGCAGATCTTTAAGGAAGTGGTCCACAGAGCGCAGGAGCTATCGATCCCTAGGTGTAAGAAATCAAGCAAAGAAGGGAAGAGACCAGCGTGGTTGAGACAGGAGATGCTGGTCAAGCTAAGGAGGAAGAGGGAACTGCACAGGCAGTGGAAGCAGGGACAGGCATCCTGGGAAGAGTATAGGGAAGTGGTCCGGTTGTGTAGGAATGGGGTCAGGGAGGCGAAGGCGCAGCTGGAGCTTAACTTGGCTAGGGATGCAAAGAATAATAAAAAGGGATTCTACAGGTATATCAGCCGGAAAAGGAAGGTTAAAGAGAGTGTACCCCCGCTGATAAGCGAGACCGGCAGGCTGGTAACAGCAGATGAGGAGAAGGCTGAGGTACTCAACAACTTTTTTGCCTCAGTCTTCACTGGCAACCTCTCTCCTCACCCCTCCCAAGTCGATGGATGGCATGAGGGGGAC